TGATGCTGTCCTTTTCGGGGTTGAAGAACAGCCAATCGTAGAACAGCGCCAGTTTGGCGTTGGACGCGGCCACGTTGGACTGAGGAGGGAAAAAAACCCAAATTATTGGGGGAGCAAAATCCCACTGAGAACCCACTGAAATCCCACTGAGATCCCATTGAGATCCCACTGAGAGCCCATTTTTGGGATATTCCCATTCCCAATCTATCCCATGTCCCATTTTTGGGATTTTCCCATTCCTGATCCATCCCATGGCCCGTTTTTAGGATGTTCCCGTTCCTGCCAGCCCCATTCTCAACCCCACTGACCCCTCAGGCAGTCAGTAGCCCACTGACCATCCCCAGTAGCCCACTGACCGTGCAGGTGGTCAGCAGCCCATCCCCAATGACCACTCAGGTGGTCAGTAGCCCACTGACCATCCCCAGTAGCCCACTGACCGTGCAGGTGGTCAGCAGCCCCGTTCCCATCCCCAGTGACCCCTCAGGTGGTCAGTAGCCCACTGACCATCCCCAGTAGCCCAACTGACCGTGCAGGTGGTCAGCAGCCCCAATGACCCCTCAGGCGGTCACTAGCCCCATCCAGGCGGTCACTAGCCCCATCCAGGCAGTCACTAGCCCCATCCAGGTGGTCACTAGCCCACTGACCGTGCAGGTGGTCAGCAGCCCCAGTGACCATTCCCACTGACCACTCAGGCAGTCAGTAGCCCACTGACCATCCCCAGTAGCCCACTGACCGTGAAGGTGGTCAGCAGCCCTCGTTCCCATTCCCACTGGCCCCACTGACCATTCAGGCGGTCACTAGCCCCATCCAGGCAGTCAGTAGCCCACTGACCATCCCCACTAGCCCACTGACCGTGCAGGTGGTCAGCAGCCCCAATGACCATTCCCACTGACTCCACTGACCCCTCAGGTGGTCACTAGCCCCATCCAGGCAGTCAGTAGCCCACTGACTGTGCAGGTGGTCAGCAGCCCCACTGACCATTCAGGCGGTCACTAGCCCCATCCAGGCGGTCACTAGCCCCAGTCAGGCGGTCACTAGCCCCACCCAGGCAGTCACTAGCCCAACTGACCGTGCAGGTGGTCAGCAGCCCCAATGACCACTCAGGCGGTCACTAGCCCCATTCAGGCGGTCACTAGCCCCACTCAGGCGGTCACTAGCCCACTGACCGTGCAGGTGGTCAGCAGCCCCACTGACCCCTCAGGCGGTCACTAGCCCCACTCAGGTGGTCACTAGCCCCACTCAGGCGGTCACTAGCCCCACTCAGGCGGTCACTAGCCCCACTCAGGCGGTCACTAGCCCACTGACCGTGCAGGTGGTCAGCAGCCCCACTGACCATTCCCAGCAGCCCCGCTGACCCCTCAGGCGGTCACTAGCCCAACTCAGGCAGTCACTAGCCCCATCCAGGCGGTCACTAGCCCACTGACCGTGCAGGTGGTCAGCAGCCAGCCGATGATGGCCCAGCGGGGCAGGATGTCGGAGCTCAGCACCTCATTGGACGGGTGCACCACGCCGCAGATGTAGCGGATGAGATCGCAGCGCAGCGATTGGCTGTCGGGGGTGGACAGGTACTGCCGCTGGAACCAATCCTGGTAGCGCTTCTGCTGCCCAAAACGCACCTGGGGACACGTGGGGACATGTGGGGACATGTGGGGACACCATGGGGACATGGGGACAGGGACATGGGGACGCCATGGGGACAGGTACTGCCGCTGGAACCAATCCTGGTAGCGCTTCTGCTGCCCGAAACGCACCTGGGGACACGTGGGGACATGGGGACAGGGACATGGGGATGGGGACACCGTGGGGACACCATGGGGACACCGCGGGGACACCATGGGGACATGGGGACAGGGACATGGGGACACCATGGGGACAGGTACTGCCGCTGGAACCAATCCTGGTAGCGCTTCTGCTGCCCAAAACGCACCTGGGGACACGAGGGGACACGTGGGGACATGTGGGGACATGTGGGGACACCGTGGGGACACGGGGGGACACCGTGGGGACATTGTGGGGACATTGTGGGGACACCATGGGGACATGGACATGGGGACACCATGGGGACAGGTACTGCCACTGGAACCAATCCTGGTAGCGCTTCTGCTGCCCAAAACGCACCTGGGGACACGTGGGGACACATGGGGACATTGTGGGGACACCGTGGGGACATTGTGGGGACACCGTGGGGACATTGTGGGGACACCTTGGGGACATTGTGGGGACACCATGGGGACATGGGGATGGGGACATGGGGACAC